TTGTGCAGATGGCACAGTACGTGATCAGCGTCACTTCACAACAGCTAGAGACCAGTTCTGGACAGAGGGAGCAGAGATGGCCCTTTGCTCTGCACTGGGGAAGGCAACAGTACAGTATTGCTCAGCTCAGGCGCTTTTGCACAGCACAGTGAAAGTAACCAGCAACTTGAACAGCAGAGTTGTTGATGCCTACTTCCTCTGGCTGGATTTATCACCAGTTAAGAAGATGTACGTTCCAGCTGAGGTTGGCTTCCTTCTTGGGAGATTTGTAACTTCTCTTTCCTCTCCAGAATTGTTGGTGTCCAGCTAGCGTTGAGCTCACGCCAGAACCTTTCCCGTGGTGGGTCACTAGCAATCTCCCTGTCTTCCTGTACAAAACTGATCAGATCCATCAGAGAGTTTCAGATTTGGATAAAGAGGGCTAAAGGTTCAGAAGATGCTCTTTAACAGGAGATTGGCAGACCAACATGCACACACAGGAAATGATGCTTCTGCTTTGTTTCAATGGAAACTGGGATTAAAAAGCAGCCTGGTTTTATACTACATTTCATGTTTCAAGTCATGGAGCAAGATGACTGCCCAGAGCCCAGCCTTTTGGTTCTTTTTGTTGCTTCTGTGCTAGAAACGGTGAGAGCAGCTTGCTGTGCCAGGCACATGCTCTGCAGCAAGAAAGGAGGAACTCTTCACATGCAAGAGCTGAAGCTGTTCAGAAGAGGCGGAACACCTGCGTGGCGCTGGAGTCTCCTGCTGCAGGGGCTGAATGGAAAGAGGGAGGTTGGTTGTAACTCCAACAACTCACCTGCAGTGGTCAATACTTCAACTAGTCTGTTTCCTGCATGTGGCAGTAGGCCTCCAAGAAACTGCCAGTGGAAGCAAAGATGCAAACCCTTATTTGGAAAACCTATTCTCTTGCAGTCTTTCATTTGAGTCTCTAACGAAAAAGAAGAAAGACCCTCCCCTCCCAAACTGAACAGCAAACATTCCCTTGCCACAGGACTCTTGCTTTTTGTTTTCACGTGAAGTGAACGCATGCAGGGGTCTTTGACAGGTGGGTCCTCACACCTGGTACGGTAGAGGGGGAAAAATAAGCTATTGAGTGAATCTTTATGGTGATTCAAAACACTTTAGGTAGATCCTGTCATATGCTTTATAAGCTCCTGACTGATTGTTGGAATTAAGTTATTGGGCAGAGACCCAGCTAATGGAAACACATTGATGAAATCATTTTTGAGGGACATTAAATGGAACTTAAAATAAAGCTGAAATGGCTTTATGGATTTTTCAGTCAAGCTGTTTATGAACATTTATCGGTGGTAAATTATACACTGTCAGAAGAGGGAATCGGGAGGTATGGCTTTTAATAGAAGTGTCCCTGATATAATACTGTGAGAAAGAATAATTTATTACCTAGGGATGTACAGTACAGTATGTTTAAATATAAATTATATGATTGTTTTCTCTTAACTGTCTTTGGCTGTTCGTAGTAAGTTACCTTTAGCAGCAGCAGAGAGTGTCACAAAGTGAAAAAATACTTTCAGTACTTTGCATTGAAATGCAAGTTTTATTATAACATTTGCTATGTGTAATATAACAGACAATTCAGGATGCAGAAGCTATGTTATTTAATAGTAAATTTAATTTACATTTGTTTTTGCTTTATGCTCAGTAAAGGGAGAAGAGGGACGCAAACAATAGCTTTGGGAAAGGAGAGTGTAACACCTAAGTCTTCAGCTATTGGAGCTGTACATTAATACCCTCTGGCAAAACCCAGCATTTCTCAGGTAGAGAATAGTGAAAATAAGACTAGTGGAATTCCGGATTGGAAGGCATCTTCTGGTCTAGCACCTTTTATCCCCTATTTTTAGCAACCCACATCTCATAGTCATGAACTTGTCAAGTCAGTTAGGTCGTCTGTCTCATCTACTCTAACTGAAAAGCTGTTCTCATCTTTGCTTTTCTGGTGGCTATAATTCACCTACTTTCCTTCCTAGATATATTTGGGATCAATTTCTAGCCACTTGTTCTCCTGCCAGCACTGGCCTAGAGCCAGAAGTTCTCTTTCCTTCCTATTATTTATCCAGCTGAAGTATTTATACACAACATTCATATTCCCATTTATATCTTCCCCCTTAGCCATCATGTTGCTAGGCTAAAAACCCAAGTCCTTCCACTTCTCTCTAGGCTAGGCTTTCTGTTCCTGCAGTCATGTAATGGTTGCTCTCTGCGCACATTCCTCAGACAAAGATGAGCTGGCAGCTGTGTGGTAGCTCAAGGATTCTCTTACAATAACGTGTGTATTTTCACGTCCCTGTTAGACTTACCTCTTCCCTTTCAGCTGAAGATCATGTTTGCCTTCCCTATGGCCTTGTGCTGCTGACATGAATCATGTGTAGACCTTTATCCACTGACATTCCCATCCAGGGAGTGTCCAACATGGAGCAGAAATTCATACTGCTTTCTAAGCCTGTGACCTTGCACTTTGTATTTTTAAATTTCACCTTCTCTTTATTCTGCTCCCTGATGTCACTCAGTTATGCCTTTGTGGCATCCTAGTCCTCCTCTGTGTGGGCAAGACAGCCAAGCTTACTGGCAACAGCACATTTCCTTAATGAAAACAGTGAATGAGGTCACTTGCTCCAACCTAGTGGCTTCACTTTCAACACAATCCAGTGCTGATGTTACCGATATCTGGCTGTGGAATCCCATAGTTGTTAAGAGCCAGACTTTGACACAAATGTCCGGTATAGTTGAATCTACCCAAAACGGTTGTTTCAATAAGGATACCGTTCCTTATGGTAGAGAGAGGATGGGTGGGAGTGGGCACATTTAAGTTATATAAGATTTCAAGCAGTGCAAAAGAGGATTTTACAGAAGTGTAAAGGGAAAGGAAAGCAAGGAGATGGATTAAAGGAATAGCAGACTTTTTATTTTCAGCGTTCCCAAAATCACTGCTTTGGAATCATCAGTGGCTTTGTTTCCAAAATTGCTTCCTGCGTTTAAATTAAATAATGAAAGCTTCTAAAACTCCAGATCGTTAGAAATATTCAGAAGTTTTTCCTTATTCTGCAGGCATTTCTGGTTACTTGCAGCTTGTTATTTTGGGCTTTGCATAATACAGCTAAAAAAGTTTGTAAAAACGAATTACAAATGCTAGCATAAACAAAGTCTCCATTTAAGTGATAGAAATGGAAGAGGAGCAAGAGTATTTCTGTGCACCTCTACAGCTGCTCTTTCTCATCTTCCTCACCTCAGAAATCATTGTTTTATTATGCAGATGTGTGCAGGCTGCTTCTTTTGCTAAGTTTCATAGCAAAGCTAATAACGAGAGTGGTTGTGTGGATAAGCAGGGACTTAAATCATTTGGAAACTGTTCAGAGAGGACAGATCAGATAATAATAACCTTCATGGTTGGCAAGTTACAGCTGCTTTTTACAACTTATAACGATGAAGGCTCATAGTAAAGTTAAGAGCTAAATATCTATATTGGGCCACAGGATCAATTTCAATTCCCAAACTTTACACTGCTTTTATCATCTTTGAAATTACTTTATTTTTCTCCAGTTAAAAAGCGGGAGTTGTTTTTTGTGCTATAAATGGTAAAGTGCTTATTTTCATTCTGATTTTTTCTTTAACGCAGCAGGACAGCTTGGTTCATTTACTTCAGTGCAAGCAAAATACAGTTTTATTAAAGCCACAGTGTTTCTCCATTATTGCATGGGTTACATAAGAAGAAAGTTTTGTTCACATGTTGTGCATCATCTCAGAGCATTTTTTATTCTATACTGGTGACTTCTAGAGAGCGCATAGGTAATAATTATAATAGCACATATTAAGAGCAATCTCCAATAGCATAAGTGAAAGGTCATGAGGCAATAATTAGTCCAGAAAATCTACTTCACAGTGAATGACTTAGAAATCTGTAACTATTTAGCGAATCAGAGCAAAAGTTGAGGTGGTTTGATCACAGTCTGTAAATATCTGCAGGGAGTAAAGGTTTGTGTTCATGCAGGGCCTATTGTCTTGCACTCAATGACACGAGAAGATTTAGCAGCTGAAAACTAAAGCGAGACGAATTCAGATTAGACGCACGTTTTTAAATTAGAACAAGTAGACAGCAGAAAGGCTTACCAGAGAATGTCGTGGGCTGTCTTTGGCTTAAAACAAGTAAATTGGGAGAACGTATCTTTCTAAAAAGATGCAGCGTGGCTCAGTCACAGTATACGGAGGACCTGATGCAGGCGAAGGCTGGGTAGAAGTGCCCAGTCTTTGTTATGCAGGTGGTCAGATAAGAGGATTGCAGTGGCCTGAAACTCCAGAAAGCTATTAATATTACGTAATCTTTTACAGCTAAAGATCTAACAATACTGAGCAAATGAGGATAGTGCTATTTTCCCCACTGTCTCTAAGAGAAGAGCGAAATGAGGAGAAGTTAAATGATTTCTGGGTCACATGTTGAATCAGCAGCTGAGCTGGAGCTGGACCGCAGTTTCCTGCCTGCTCAACTGCATTTGTTCCGTGGACACCTCCTCTTCCCTAGGCAGGAGCACAGCCTGACCTGCGAGACATTGGCACTGGTTGAGCCAAAACTTGTTTTTCTCCATTGAGTATCTCTCAGAAGCCAACAAAAGAAATAATTTCATGATGTACATTTGGGTTCATGAATGAAGAATGTAGCTGGATTAGGGGGATGCTTATCAAGGGGGTATTTTTTCCAAGCTCCCAACATCAATTGTGTCAACAGACACTTTCCACACTCAGAAAACTAGCAGCTGCTTTTACAGCCAGAGGTGCAGTTTACAGGCAAATCCCATTTGTAATGAAGGCAGCCAATCTCAAATGATCAAGGTCTGGCTTTTCTAGGGGACAGAAGGGATATGTGCGAGAGAGAAATGGGGTCAGGTGATGGATTAAATTCTGTCTAGGTATGATTTGACAGTCACTCCCCTGATAACAGCTTATAATGTTGACAATTTGTCTTCTGTTTTGTTTTGTGATTTCAGGAGCAGAAGGCACAGTGTTCCCTAAATCTATAGAAACTCCCAATGTCAGGGCAGACCCCTTCAAGGAACTAAGGTAAACTTTGGAATATGGTGTAAAGGTAACTCGGTGGCACCTTGTTGGAATTGTGCTGGGAGTCATTTCTGCATGTAATATGACCGAGTTAAAGGAAATTGTGGGTCATGAGAGCATCATTTCTCCTGTGTAACATGCTCTGCTTACCCTGGGCTCAGCCTTTGAGGAGAAATAGAGATACCTTTCTCTAGATGATCTGTCTTGCAGAAATAGAAAACCTCCTGACCTGCACAGGGACTAGCTGTGCATGGGTGTCACTACTGACACTCAGAGAAATACCATTTGCTAGCAGCAACGTATCAGGAGGAATAAACAGCATAGCTCTTGAGAATCAGCTTTGCCCTCAAGCTAATGCTAGGCATTATATTTTTACATTTTTAGATATAATTATAAACAAAAATTTAAGTATGGCCCTGCAGGCTGGTTTGGATGAGTAGAGTCTCAAAAAGTGAGCAGTTAACAGTGGACTAATCATATGGCCTAAGATGCTATTGACTTAAGTCTTCTGAAATCTTCTGTCTGCAGGGCTGTAGGGTTTGCCATCAATGCTCAAATTATCCTTGCTTAAAAAAAAGAGAAAGAGAAAAGGGGAAGAGTCTCCAAAAGGACATCTTGTCACTAGATCTTTGTTTGGAGACACTCCCTCCTTGGAGACTTCTGAGGAGGAAGATCTTAAATCAGTTCAAGTTGTGTCCAAATGCTGCAGGATTACTGCGAATGCACTGGAGGCAGAGGAGGGCCTCCTGTTACTCTGTCCGCTCTGATACTGGGCGTAGTTATGGCCTAGTGAGATCACAGTGGAAGATGGAAAATATCCTGATTGCTTTCCCTTGAGTCTGTTACTATCTCTCACTTTCTGTCCAGAAACACTCTGGCAGATCATGTGTCACATAAAAAGCCGCAATGGTGTTGTGATTCAGTTTATTTACGAAGGTTTGCTCTGTTTCTGCATGTGGTGACATTAACGCAGCCTTGTCTTTATCATAATCTTAGTATACTTTCTTTAAAAAAAAAAAAAAGAAAAAAAGGGAAAGGAAAGCAAGGAGATGGATTAAAGGAATAGCAGACTTTTTATTTTCAGCGTTCCCAAAATCACTGCTTTGGAATCATCAGTGGCTTTGTTTCCAAAATTGCTTCCTGCGTTTAAATTAAATAATGAAAGCTTCTAAAACTCCAGATCGTTAGAAATATTCAGAAGTTTTTCCTTATTCTGCAGGCATTTCTGGTTACTTGCAGCTTGTTATTTTGGGCTTTGCATAATACAGCTAAAAAAGTTTGTAAAAACGAATTACAAATGCTAGCATAAACAAAGTCTCCATTTAAGTGATAGAAATGGAAGAGGAGCAAGAGTATTTCTGTGCACCTCTACAGCTGCTCTTTCTCATCTTCCTCACCTCAGAAATCATTGTTTTATTATGCAGATGTGTGCAGGCTGCTTCTTTTGCTAAGTTTCATAGCAAAGCTAATAACGAGAGTGGTTGTGTGGATAAGCAGGGACTTAAATCATTTGGAAACTGTTCAGAGAGGACAGATCAGATAATAATAACCTTCATGGTTGGCAAGTTACAGCTGCTTTTTACAACTTATAACGATGAAGGCTCATAGTAAAGTTAAGAGCTAAATATCTATATTGGGCCACAGGATCAATTTCAATTCCCAAACTTTACACTGCTTTTATCATCTTTGAAATTACTTTATTTTTCTCCAGTTAAAAAGCGGGAGTTGTTTTTTGTGCTATAAATGGTAAAGTGCTTATTTTCATTCTGATTTTTTCTTTAACGCAGCAGGACAGCTTGGTTCATTTACTTCAGTGCAAGCAAAATACAGTTTTATTAAAGCCACAGTGTTTCTCCATTATTGCATGAGTTACATAAGAAAGTTTTGTTCACATGTTGTGCATCATCTCAGAGCATTTTTTATTCTATACTGGTGACTTCTAGAGAGCGCATAGGTAATAATTATAATAGCACATATTAAGAGCAATCTCCAATAGCATAAGTGAAAGGTCATGAGGCAATAATTAGTCCAGAAAATCTACTTCACAGTGAATGACTTAGAAATCTGTAACTATTTAGCGAATCAGAGCAAAAGTTGAGGTGGTTTGATCACAGTCTGTAAATATCTGCAGGGAGTAAAGGTTTGTGTTCATGCAGGGCCTATTGTCTTGCACTCAATGACACGAGAAGATTTAGCAGCTGAAAACTAAAGCGAGACGAATTCAGATTAGACGCACGTTTTTAAATTAGAACAAGTAGACAGCAGAAAGGCTTACCAGAGAATGTCGTGGGCTGTCTTTGGCTTAAAACAAGTAAATTGGGAGAACGTATCTTTCTAAAAAGATGCAGCGTGGCTCAGTCACAGTATACGGAGGACCTGATGCAGGCGAAGGCTGGGTAGAAGTGCCCAGTCTTTGTTATGCAGGTGGTCAGATAAGAGGATTGCAGTGGCCTGAAACTCCAGAAAGCTATTAATATTACGTAATCTTTTACAGCTAAAGATCTAACAATACTGAGCAAATGAGGATAGTGCTATTTTCCCCACTGTCTCTAAGAGAAGAGCGAAATGAGGAGAAGTTAAATGATTTCTGGGTCACATGTTGAATCAGCAGCTGAGCTGGAGCTGGACCGCAGTTTCCTGCCTGCTCAACTGCATTTGTTCCGTGGACACCTCCTCTTCCCTAGGCAGGAGCACAGCCTGACCTGCGAGACATTGGCACTGGTTGAGCCAAAACTTGTTTTTCTCCATTGAGTATCTCTCAGAAGCCAACAAAAGAAATAATTTCATGATGTACATTTGGGTTCATGAATGAAGAATGTAGCTGGATTAGGGGGATGCTTATCAAGGGGGTATTTTTTCCAAGCTCCCAACATCAATTGTGTCAACAGACACTTTCCACACTCAGAAAACTAGCAGCTGCTTTTACAGCCAGAGGTGCAGTTTACAGGCAAATCCCATTTGTAATGAAGGCAGCCAATCTCAAATGATCAAGGTCTGGCTTTTCTAGGGGACAGAAGGGATATGTGCGAGAGAGAAATGGGGTCAGGTGATGGATTAAATTCTGTCTAGGTATGATTTGACAGTCACTCCCCTGATAACAGCTTATAATGTTGACAATTTGTCTTCTGTTTTGTTTTGTGATTTCAGGAGCAGAAGGCACAGTGTTCCCTAAATCTATAGAAACTCCCAATGTCAGGGCAGACCCCTTCAAGGAACTAAGGTAAACTTTGGAATATGGTGTAAAGGTAACTCGGTGGCACCTTGTTGGAATTGTGCTGGGAGTCATTTCTGCATGTAATATGACCGAGTTAAAGGAAATTGTGGGTCATGAGAGCATCATTTCTCCTGTGTAACATGCTCTGCTTACCCTGGGCTCAGCCTTTGAGGAGAAATAGAGATACCTTTCTCTAGATGATCTGTCTTGCAGAAATAGAAAACCTCCTGACCTGCACAGGGACTAGCTGTGCATGGGTGTCACTACTGACACTCAGAGAAATACCATTTGCTAGCAGCAACGTATCAGGAGGAATAAACAGCATAGCTCTTGAGAATCAGCTTTGCCCTCAAGCTAATGCTAGGCATTATATTTTTACATTTTTAGATATAATTATAAACAAAAATTTAAGTATGGCCCTGCAGGCTGGTTTGGATGAGTAGAGTCTCAAAAAGTGAGCAGTTAACAGTGGACTAATCATATGGCCTAAGATGCTATTGACTTAAGTCTTCTGAAATCTTCTGTCTGCAGGGCTGTAGGGTTTGCCATCAATGCTCAAATTATCCTTGCTTAAAAAAAAGAGAAAGAGAAAAGGGGAAGAGTCTCCAAAAGGACATCTTGTCACTAGATCTTTGTTTGGAGACACTCCCTCCTTGGAGACTTCTGAGGAGGAAGATCTTAAATCAGTTCAAGTTGTGTCCAAATGCTGCAGGATTACTGCGAATGCACTGGAGGCAGAGGAGGGCCTCCTGTTACTCTGTCCGCTCTGATACTGGGCGTAGTTATGGCCTAGTGAGATCACAGTGGAAGATGGAAAATATCCTGATTGCTTTCCCTTGAGTCTGTTACTATCTCTCACTTTCTGTCCAGAAACACTCTGGCAGATCATGTGTCACATAAAAAGCCGCAATGGTGTTGTGATTCAGTTTATTTACGAAGGTTTGCTCTGTTTCTGCATGTGGTGACATTAACGCAGCCTTGTCTTTATCATAATCTTAGTATACTTTCTTTAAAAAAAAAAAAAAGAAAAATGGTCTTTGTTCAGCCTGCCATGCAGCAGCTTGGAGCCTGTCGCGGTAGCTCCAGTATCTCCTGTGGTGGAAAGAGCCCCAGAAAGGGAAGGGTGGGGAAGTGCAGAGCGTACACAGCCTCTGCTTCTGCAGACATAGCCAGTAAATGAAACAGTCGGAGGTTGGGTGGACTTACAGATGAGGTTTGGGGAACAAAGGCTCTCTGATATAGCCCATCTTTGCTGCTTTTTTCAGCAAATAAAAAAAAAAAAAAAAGAAAACCAAGATCAAGGTTACAATATCCGATAGCATCTAAGTAACTTACAAAACCAGGTCCCATATTCAATAATGGTTCAGGTCCAAGTTTGCAGTTACTTAGGACTTCTTTAAACATGGGTGGGCAGTTAATCCAAATAAATGTAAAGCATCACGTTAAAGGGGACAAATGTGAATTAAAGTGGCCTTAATGTGATTGAGTACACTTCTGTTCCAAAGAGAATTAAGCTAAATGAAATTGAGATGAATTAATGGCAGTATCCATGCAAGGGTTTGATTCAGTATGTTTAATCTGCTTAAATTCTTACTGTTATTTCACTAGTTCTGTGTAGAGAGCTGTTAGATAACTGACTTTCTTTGAAATTAGTGGACTGTTTTTAAAAAATCCTTTAAAGAATCTGGTATGGTTTTTTTTTCTTCTTTAAGGAGAAAGCCATTGAAAGTAAATAGGATTCACTTTGAAAAAAAGGGTCTAGAAGGCCCTAAAACATTTCATGCGCTTTTGAAAACTTTATCTCTTGACAGAAATAAACTATGTTCTCCACCATCCTGAAAAGAAAAAAGAGGAAAAGTTAGCACTGTGTAGAGACAGCAGGGTTTGCCAAGAGCAGCATACTCTTTCATCCCCAGACCAAGAAGCAGTCATCCCTCATTCTCTGTGCATACACGTGTTTGTTGGAGCATTGGCTACTTCTTAGGTGAAATGGTGCCTTTTTGGTGCAGTACAGAGTTCACAGGGGAAATAATCCTACTCTGGGGATGCATTTTCTGGCACTGTCCCATGTTGACAGCAGTCTGTACGTGTAAGGTGTCATTTTAGTCTACTTAAAAAGATGCTGCAGTGACGTGGAGCTGAATGAGATGACAGTCTGTGGGTCCTGAGCTGCTATGCACCACTGGGAGAGCAGCATTATAAACAGTAGCTGGTTTGACAGATGTTTTCTGTAATAAACAATACAAGCCTTTCTTTACTCCTTAGGTTGAAGTTCCTATAGGGGAAAACACAGAGTCAGCTATTGCTGGCTATAGCGTGGCGCCGCCAACCTAGATCACTCTTCCTAGACCAAATGGTTAAGATCAGTTATGCGGTTTATCCATTTGCTCTTTTCAGTATCATATTCACTTTCACTTTTTCTTTTTGGAGACTTCAAAATAAGGTGACGGTGACTGTCACTACCTGAAAGAGAGGAGACCAACTGATCCTCTCACCACTAGGAGTCAGACCATCTGTATGTCTCCTTTCCCTACCTCCTCTACTTAACAGACAAAGTGATTTTCCCCCTCAAGATAGGCAATATGCCATAGTGCCAATCATCCCTGTTTCTTCCCTTCTTTTTCTCCCAAATGCCTTCAGTCATGCCCACATGTCACAGACTGATATGTCCCAAGGGATGGCACACACTTTCTCAACAGACTTTCTCTCCCCTTCTAGCTGATCAGCGGTCTTCGGTTCATGTAGCCTAATTCATTTATTAGTAGTTGGCTGCTTTACAAGGCGGTTACCTTTCTGAGGAACAGACAAGGTAGCTGTCCTCTCTGGCCACTAGCAGGCTCTGTGTGGTCCTCTTTTCTGAGTGTCCTTTTTGAAACATTTGTTTCTGAAATGCTTTAGACAGGGAAAAATATGGGTGGTAATGGGTGCATAGCTTTTTTCTTAAGCACTAAGCCCCTCAAAGAGCCATAAGGCTGCAAGAATTGATTTGGTGCTTGTTTGACACCAGTCTGGACTTTGCTGCTGATTTTTTCCGGCAAGTTTTCAATGACTCCCTCCCATGCTACAGAAAGGCGTACGTGTCACATAACTAAAATCCTCTTCAGCCCAGTTGTGGTAAGAATGCCAGAGCTCATAAATGCCTTGTTTAGTGGAGGGGTGGGTGTTGTACATGTTTTCTGTTTGGGATCTAGACTATTCCTTAGTAACGACCTAAAAGCAGAAATGCTGGAAAAACTATTTAATATACTTTTGTGAACGTTTTCAGGTTTTTACTCATTTAAAGTAATTTTAGAGTCTCAAAAGTTTTGACAGCTGTTTACTGGGTGTTAAATTGGTCAAAAACAGTAAAAAGGCAAATAAATTCATATTACTTTCAATGTTCTTGATTGTTTAGCATTGGCATTCAGTAACGTCCCAAAATAGTTTAGAGACAGAGCTTGAGAGACTTGTTTGTGGCAGGCATTGAAATATTTGCACTAATCTTCATTGACTCTCTGGGATGCAGGTTGGTCTTGTGACATATCTTAATGTGATTTTCTGTATAAAGTTTGGACCCAAGATACCTTTTTCTCACTGAGTTGCTTTGTGCCCAAGTAATTTAGTAAGAGCCTGTCTTGCATGCCTTTCCTAGACACCTACAGCAATCACCTGCATTCTTCTTTTTATCTTCTTCCAAAAGACAAGCATATGCCAGGGAGGCTAACAGAAGTTGTCCATCAAGCCCACGCTCAGTGCTCTCATTGCTGTTAACACATCTGCCGAGGCCAAGGATAAGGGCTAGACTAGCTGAGAAAGAGCAAGAAAGAAGGAAAGTAATTTGAGGGAGAAAAAACCTAGAAAGTGGGACCAACATGAGGAAAAAAAACAGGAGGGTGCTGTTTACCTCACGGATGTGACTTTGTGAGGTTACAAAAACTTGAGGGCCTCACCCGACCCCTTAGTGGTGCTGCAGGGATCGGCTTGCGCAAAGCGCCATCAGGACATGGGCTGACCCCTTCCTCTGCCTGAACTCACACTTGCAGAGCTAGCAGAGGTACGTTCCCCAACATCACCCTGTGCCAGACACCATGTAGCTGGAAAGCGAAAGCTGTTTCCCTCCAAATGGAGATCTCTGAAATTACTCAATGAACTGTGTAAGAATTAACAGAAGGGCCCTGGTTTAGGGCATTTCTATCCCTAGAGTTAAATAAAAAGAAATCGGATAGAATGAAATTCATTCCATGAGGAGCAAGCACAGACCTGGAAATCATCCACAATTATTATAAGGTAAAAAAATCCAGTAGACCGCTCATCTAATACTAGGAGACCAAGGGATGACTGTTTTTCCTGTAATATGCAAATATAGTTCAGGGAGAATTAATCTCTTAGGCTTGAAGGGGTAATTTTTGACCAGAGTTAATTATGGAGCACTGAAAGTACGAAATGGCAGATGACACGCAGTTTGATTTTATTAGTGCAATTCTACCTTACCATGTACAATCCTGGACTATCCAAATAGTCCAAGTGAGACCCATTCTACCAGAAAGCAGTTTAAATACAATGCTCAGCTAATATAACAATACTCATTTTGTAAAATAATAACTATTATCGAATTAAGGTTTTTCAGCTGTGTTTCACAAGGCAGAGACATTTTCAGTAAGTAGGAACACAAATAATGTTTCTGTCCAAAACCCATTACATTAATAAAGATTAACAGAACAAAAATTAGAGGAAATGCAAAAAAGAATGGCACTAAAGAGGAAGTAATTGGTGGATAATGGAAATCATTTATTAAGGGATAGTGTACGATACTGGAACATTTAGTTTACAGTAAACACATGAGGATTTCTGTCAGGTGTCAGCAATGGAAAAATGGTCAATACGGCCTTGTATCTAGCTGGTGTTATTTTCTAATTGATTTACCAGAAAGGATGCAATTCTTTTCTGTGTTAAACCATTCAATCTGAAAAAATTTAGTAGAGTACTACCAGCTTGAAAAACAACAGACTGTTGCCTTGAGATGAGTT